TTTTTTGTTAAATACAGATAAAATTAAGAAAGAATAGTACTTTAAAATTATAATTTTTGAAAAAAACTAAATTGCAAATTGATAAATGTAATCTAATTGTTTAAAAATACAGTGCAACATTTTGAAAATTCGATTTTTTTTATTTTTTTCAAAAGATTATTTTACGAAAACTATAGAACCGATTTTAATGAAATAACGTGTTGTTTTATTATACTCTCTCTTCAAGTTTTTTTTTCCAAAATTAGAATGCTCAGAGCAATTAAAATATTTTAAAAAAATTATCCAAGAAACTTACTTATTTTGCCTTTTTTTCATCATTTATTGCTATTTTGCAACATCCGTAATAAATTGAAACATTTTTGACTTACACTATATTGTGCAAAATTCAATTCTAAAACATTTTTCCTCTTCAATATTCTTCCAAAATGCATAGGTTCTAAGATATAAGTAAAAAACTCTGATAAAATAAGTATTTTTAAAAATTTTTTAAGCATATTTGCAATTTTGAAAATGTTTCGGACCTCGCCCAGATCTAGAGATCTACACTTTTATTATGTGAGCTGTACTGAAGGTAATCCAGGGAAAATTTGCTTGCCCCCTCTCACATCCACCTCAAAACAGATCCGCCCTGGTCTATACCGTTAATTGAAATATCGGGCGCTACATTGTCACTAATTTCATTTAATATTTCAGAAACAAAGCCAAATATCGAAAAAAAAAAACAAGAGACGAAAAAGTTTCAAAATTAATGAGGCAAAGTTCTTCTACTAACCACTTCTAAGTGGGGTAGGTGGTAAGGAGATTATGTAAGATTATAAGGAGTGTTTGTGTTCCAAATTTCACTTCCATCGGATGAGAGGTTCAAAAGTTATGATGGAAAAACGGGAAAAACCTTCCTACTTCAACGCCCTCTATCTCCGAAATGGTGCGATTTAGGAAATAAGTTTATGTCGGGAATGAACATTATTTTAACCTGTTCTATCGATTCCTGAAGTTATCCAGATTAAACCTGAATCACCCTGTATAGTGCTGGGTAATTTCTCGAAAATATTTTTCTGTAAAAAATAGTCATAACGTTATAATAGTACGCTCTGATTACGTTTTAAAAATGAGTTTTACTTTTGTTATTTCAAAAATACAATGTACAGGGTGATTCACTATATTTTGACCCCACCTTCAACTTTTTTGTTTTAAGAGTTATAAGCGAGATACTATTAAAAAGCGAAAAGAAGTTTTTTTTATTAAGACAATAAGACATTTTGTAATTGTTATTTTTCAGGCACTTCTGCCTTTTTCCAATTACGTAAGGATTTACAGATTTAGTTATAATATATTTTGACAGATCGGACATTGATATGGTCCAAAATGCGTATAGGTATTGTAATTAATCTCACTAATTAGGCCGTGAGAGGCCTAATTACTCATGGACAATGTCATATGGTAGGCCGTGACAGTGACAGCTAATGTCATGACAACATTGTTATTGTTTGACAGTTTGTATTATTATTTAATTAAAATGGCTTACACAGAAGTAGAAAATTTAAATATTATAGGAATTAAAATAGAGCAAAGTTCTTCTCCAGACTCTATTTTAATTCTAAATAATTTTCTACTTCTGTGTAACCTATAACAAATAACAATAACAAATGTTGTCAAGACATTACTACCTGTCAGTGTCACGACCTACCATATAATGTCCATGAGTAATTAGACCTCTCACGGCCTAATTAGTGAGATTTCGTTACATTACGCTTTTTGGACCGTATCAATGTCCGATCTGTCAAAATATATTATTACTAAATCTGTAAATCCTTACGTAATTGGAAAAAAGGCAGAAATGCCTGAAAGAGGTCTAACAATTACAAGATGTATTATTTTCTTAATAAAAAAACTTCTTTTGGTTTTTTAAAAGTATCTTGCTTATTGTTAGAGATGGACCCTAAAAAACCCATATGGCTATACTCTACAGGGAACGTTCTATCCAAAGATGTAAAAATATACAGGGTGTTCTATTTAACTTAATAAAGTTAACATTCGCGTCCATTTTGTTTGGACTTTGTTTGTTTTTCTACTATCATTTTCGAAAAATTCATAAAAAATCGTGCAACTTTTATATTTAACATTTTTTTATAATTCTTAAAACAAAAAAGTTAAAGGGGGGTTCAAAATATAGTGAATCACCCTATACATGCATATATACCTAACTTGCATATATACCTAACGTGCATATATACCTAACATGCATATATACCTAACGTCTATTGAAATTCTAGTTCCTATCCTGGTCCGCACAACCGTGTCTGTCAATGGATCACAGAATTCGTAATTAACACACATCCGTTTTCCCGCAGTTCCGCCTTCTCCGCATTTCTCGATATAACTTCCTGTATCTTCAGTAGTTGTAAGGACACGCTGCCATCCAGGTAGGCACAGTTCACCTGGAGGACACGTAGTCGTGCTGGGTGAGGCTGTCGAAAATACCTCCAGCAGAGCGTTTATGATAGTTTCGTTTACTTCCTGGCTGTATACCTGCCCCGCGATGAGGGCGAATATTATCACGAGTTCCATAGTAGCGAGAGATACGATATGGATTTGCGAAAAACTTGAAATGTGCGCGGGTGGTTGGTATTGCTTTGCTGTACGTACGACACTGAACTGGATTGAAAATATCAAATTGTGAACTTATTTTCGTCTTTCCCCACTCTTCAATTTGAAAAAAAATATGCCAATGCCAATGCCGAGATAACGTTGGGATTACCAGACGTACACAGGTCATTCGCGTTTCTTCATATCTTCTCATTAAAAGATACTTGTACTATATGACGACAGATGTCCCCGTTAGTAATATCTGGGATTTATACTTTTGTGGCTAATTTTACCAAAAATATTTTTCATTTTAGAATTTTTTATTTCTTCTTTTTTATTTAAAAAATTCAACAAAATTTATAGGATTCAAATAGCTATTATTGTTTAAAAAAATTGAGTATAATTGACTACAACTAAACCTACTCGTTTAATTTTTTATAAAACTTTGACTGTTCGAAAGGAAAACGCATGGAGACTATACAAGGAGCCCGAAATCCATGTAAACAAAATTCTTACAAAAATAAGAGGGCGCTAGTGTTCCATATGTCCCATAGGTAGAGAGGGGAGATAAAAAAGCGGCAGTTTGAATTATAAATCAATCATGTCATTTTTGTGATGTGTTAAAAATTTTAAAATAAATAATGTAAGCTACTTTGAATTATATAAATCATGAAAATATGTCATTCCGGACTGTAATTAAACTAAATGATAATAAAAAATATTAGNTTTCTCTACCGTATTAAGAATCAAAGAAGCTGCTTCCAACTTCCGAATTATCCGACCTTTTGCCATAATATTAACCCACTATTCGGTCAAGTTGTAATATAGAACTGCTGGACATCATTAGATTGAAAATGCAGATCACAAACGTACTGTTTTATTTTAAATCTGTTGACAGTCATTCCCTTCACATACTATTACCATATTTAAATTATTTTCGAAACTTTTTATTTACCATTTATAAAAACAAATTGTAATAATTATTAACTTGACTTCTAGTTTTTAAGTTTCGTATACCTCCCCTCTCCCCAATATATCCACTAAACTCGATATAAATAAAATAAAATTGGTTATTTGCTTACTTCACTCGTATTTGTGAAGCTACATTCATTTGGAACATATGGAACACTAGCGCCACCTCAACTTCTGCCATTTCTTGGACAAATTTTGTCAATTTTTCCGTATGAGTTCGTGCTCCTTATCTAGTCTCCATGGGAAAACGGTTCGATCGACCGATTTTAAAATTTATAGACCGATCAAAATATACATTTCAAATAACGAAAATTCCGACAGAGCTAAATTTTGGTGGAGACCTTAGGTACCCCATCGATCCCATGTGTGCTAAAAAACTTATTCGGGGTCAAAGGTCAAAATTTGAGTTTTTTTTTGGATTTTTTTCGAAACCGGCAAGTTTTATCAAAAAAGTAGCCCATACAAAAATTATAGATGTTAAAATTATCTACAAAAATGGTGTCTGTATTTTTTTTCTAAGAATCACAATTCCTGAGATATCGCGATTCTATTAGCTGAAGAAGTCACGTTCTACATAATATGCACACATTTCCACACGACCTGTGAGGTAGTGTACTTTGGCGCGTTTTTTTAACGTGGTTTCCCGATAGGTAGGTAGACAATTCGTGGAGCAGTTCCACGAACTGTTATGATGGAATTTTCAGGGACACTACTCTTTTAACTGCATGATGATTATTGATATTGGTTATTGACTTTAACTGTAGTTCTGATTTCTTTTGACATTTTAATCTGATTCATACTCTTCAAAGTCGACTTCAACAGTCATGTCTTCTTCGATTTCTTCTTCTTCTTCTTCTTCTTCTTCTTCTTCTTCTTGCTGGATGTTCATAAATTGTTCAAATGAAGATGAATCAGCTGTCTCTTCATCGAAATCACATGAATCTTCGTCTGTTGTATTCAATTGGACATTTGAGCAAGACTGGCTTTGGCAATTAGTACACGCTGGAGAACACAGTAACCCTACTCTTCTACAGCCACATTTAGCACTACAACCTTTTTTGCAATTGCAAAAAATAGTGTTTAGGAGTTTTTCCGGAGCAGGTGGGAGTAAAGTTTGAATCGGTTCCAAAGTATTATCTGTTAATTTCCAACCCCAGTCTTCTGGGTTCAGTTGATTGCCTAGCCATGTCTGAACTTGATAGTATACTCGATACAAGTGTTGATTAGCAGAAGCCGATGTTGGAGGAAGACAAGATAGTTGTACTTGTTTCTTGTTTCGTGTATTTTTTACAAAAGTTTTTACAATAGAGTAGCCAGATGTTATTCAAGGCCATGCGGGTAGAGGGGATTGACTAAGGGACTGAGTTTCTTTTGAGTGTATATTCTCAGAATAGTATAGTTTATACATATAAGAGACACAAATAGGCATTTTTACTTGTATTAAGTGCCTGACTATGTATATACGTGGCATATATGTGCATATCATGTAGAACGTGACTCCTTCAACTTTTAGAATCGCGATATCTCAGGAATGGTGATTCTTAGAAAAAAAAGTATAAGGACCATTTTTGTAGATAATTTTAAGATCTATAATTTTTGTCAGGGCTACTTTTTTGATAAAACTTACCGTTTTCGAAAAAAATCCAAAAAACCTCAAATTTTGACCTTTGACCCCGAATAACTTTTTTAGCACACATGGGATCGATGGGGACTTTTGACACTTTATTTCTAATGGTGTACCCAAGGCCTCCACCAAAATTTAGCTCTGTCGGAATTTTCGTTATTTGACCTCTATTTTTATGACTAATTTGACCGGACTATTACTGGCCTCATGGGCATGTATTGAGCTAAAAAAAACTTAAAAACATTGGTACTTTACGCAATATTTGCAAAGTAGCCATTGATTTTCCAAAACAGCAAGAAAAGTCATTTTTTTGCAGTTTTTGAAATTAATACTGAATATAATTTTTTTTCTCAAACATACCAAAAGGCCAGTGAAGAGGATTGTTTCAAGTTTCAAAAACCCACGTTCCGTTCGCTGTACAATCATCACTTCATGATATATCGATGATCAAAAAAAAGGTGTTTCACTCAATAGCCGGTATCAATGAAAAAAAAAAAAACGTACAGAAAATAAAAGATCAAATTGAAGCAGTTTTGAAAAAAAAAATTTAAAATTTTTGCCTTACATTATTTTTTTCGCTGTCATCGAGAGCGATGCTCAAAAAAATTTTCCTCTCAAGTTTTCAAAACTAGAATCTGCAAGCTTCAAGATCCTTTTTTTTTCTCGATACGACCATTATTCACAAAGTTACAACCTTTCAAAATTCACAAAAAAAAATTGAAAATTTTTCAGCTGCTTTAATTATTTTTACTACGTTTATTATCGTTTTCAAAAGATAAAAATATACTCATTTTTAATACGTCAACAACTTTTTGAATAAATTTATAGTAATTTGTAATTGTCTGCTTTTTTAGTGCGAAATATTTTGATTAGGCAAAAGCTATTTTCCATAAAAATAACCTTTGACTTATCCTTCGGGCACAAGGGTTTATTAATAGATTTTTTAATTATTTTTACTTTCAAACAGACACAGAGTTTATCGGTTCCAGAAAGTTCTAATCAATGTGGTAAATTAGTAAGGATTAAAAAATATTGTTCTAGTTGCAAACGATCACGTTTTCATATAAATTACTATTTTTTAATTTTACAATGTTTGTAAATTAATTAGTGTAAAAATGATTTGACAATAACTACTTACAATTGTACAAAACACTTTTTTATTCAGCTCCTGCTTCATTTATATTGCAAAGTAGATAAATTTCAACAAAACAAAAATGATGACAGAATATTTGTATTAACATATAAATAACTTTGAGATTATAATATACCTGCCGAATTCCGTTAGTATTGACATTTCAAAAAAAGTGTCATAGAAATTTTAATAAATATATAGGGTGTCCGCAAATTTCACCGACAACGTTTGACTGCACATTCACGACGATAAATAAAAACGATCTACGAAAAAAAGTTAAAATTTGGTACATTTATTTGGTCCATTATAGCATATTATTTCTTAAAGTTTTAGTCAAATCGATATACTGTGTGATAGTTTTCTCTGGATACCTCTCCCTTTTAGCGGTCAAAACTTTTACAGTGGTCGTATTTTTTTAAAGCGGGCGGCAACATTGAAAAGGTCGTTTTATTTAAAAAAAAAAATTGTCTCTTGAGAAAATATCCCATATAATGCCAAAAATGACCAGTTTTCCTGTGTTTGTAGTAAATTACCACTCTTCATTGCTGAATTATATTTGCTGATGCGTAGGATGATAAAATTTAATGAAAATTTGAAAATAATTGAATATGGCCGATTCAAAATGGCGCGCCTTAAAATAGGTTAAGCACGGTAATTTTATAAACATCTTATTTACTGATTCAACTGTCGCCAATGCAACCAAACCAAAAGGCATTTTTTTCACTCGCTATCCCTAGAACCAGTAAATTTATAAATAAAACAAATACATTTTCTAAATTTTTTCGTTTATTATTAAACCTTTTACGAGATGTATGAATCAGTGTTGAGATTTTCTCTCCGCATCTGGTCATCGATCCAGGATCTAAACTTGGCGACGTCCACGTAAACACCCGGTACATTCAGTTCTCCACAACCTACTCCCCAAGCTACCATACCAGTTAGAAGATATCTAGATGGGTTCCTGGGGTCGGGACATACTAGAGGACTACCTCCATCGCCCTGAAAATGAAATTTGGTTAGAACTAACTCTTTGTCCAATTTCGAATTATTTAGACTAAAAATTCTTAGGTTCTCATGTATCTAATAATATGTAGGTATTCGTTTAGAGTAATCGAAAAATTAGTAATAGCTGCAGTTACCGTGCAAGCGTCTTTCCCTGCTTCTCCTCCAGCGCAGAGGAAGCTGTCATGGAGGATAAATGAAGAACCCAAACGGGTCCGCCTCAGTGCTGATTGGCATTGGGCTACCGGAACTATTGGAACTTCAATTTTCTTCATAATGTCCTGGTAGGTACCGGCTGAACCTAAAAAATGTAAGAACCATCAGTTTATTGGTGGTATGATAATGTGAAAAACGTCTTTGAGATGAAAAATCAGTTTCTGGAGTAATTAAAAGATATCCAAACCAAACAGTTTTATAATTTTTAAAATGTTACATGCTAGAGCAATAAGGACCATATTGGAGAGTAAAAGGGAATCATGGAGATATTTTGTATCTTTATATTCCATTCAACTACTTCAAAATATATGTGGATCAAAATAAAATGTGTTATCGGTAAAAGGTTTCCTACTTCTCCTCCATTATTTATTATCGATTACAACGACTACTTGTCCTTTTAAAATAGCTGAAGCGTGGGACAATATTACTTTTCAATTAGAAGTCAGAAAAATATTATTAACAATAGGCCTCTTGCAAGCGCAAGCGCGACATATACAATAACGCATTTCCAGTGGAGCTGACTGCTTTGGTTATTAAATGTGTGGAGTGGTGTCAATAAGCAGTACGATACCTTATATATACTGTAAATTTGTGAACTTATAATAACTATGGCAAATTCCTCTAAACTATATAGTCTAGACAGCATCTATTTCAAAAAGTCCATATTTGGGTAAATCGTATCCACGGATATTTTTGGCTTTTTGGCTTTCAAATATCACGTGGGCTTAACTTTTGGAGGCAAATATGTTAAAAAAATTCGAAAAATGTCATATTTTTCTTCCTATTTAATTATGTATCTTTTCAAGAGTTCATTTTAGGCGAAAATAGAAGAGGAAAAAAATGTTTGTAATTAAATTTTTTTACAAATTAAATTTACAAAATGTGACTAGTTACAAATCGAATGAATCATGATTATTATTGTAAAATGTATGTATGTGGTTAAAAAACATTACTTTTTAGGGAATCTTTTTGAGGTTTTTAAATTGGGTTGGGACTTTCATACTTGCCTCAAGAAAACTTCATGTTATGTAGAATCATCACACCAAATTTCATCAAAATCGGTTAAATAGATTTTGCATAATAATTTTGCAATCCAGATTTTGAAAAAAATATGCAAATTTTCAAAATTTTGCACAGCAGAAACCAAGGCCCTTAGATATTTGAAAATTTAATCACTTATAGAAGGACTCTCAAGCTTTCAAACGCTTTTTGAAAAATTCGAATTTGTCAATTAGGAGAGCATAGAAGAATTTTAATTTCTAGTGATATTTGATAGACAAAAAGCCAAAAATCTCCGTGGATATACGATTCACCCAAACCAAAACAGATACCGCCTAGTCTAATACCATTAGTAGTGCATTGTACCGATGTGTGAAAATACATCAGTAAAAACGCCAGAAAAAAATGTATTTTAAGATAAATTTATGTATACATCTATATCTATAAATCACATTTTCATACCTGATTGCTTTTATTCCCCTTATTTCTGCCGAATAAAATAAAATGCTTTTCGAAAAAACTCCGCAATCATCATGGAATTCGGTAAATTGTCTGATTGGGCTTTAGCATAACCTTGTTCGGTCATGTTACAAATATTCTTAAGAATTTTTAAAAAATTAAAAACTAATTAGGATTATTTAAAACAAATTTAGATTCAAAATATTATTTAGGTAGTGAATAATATTATGCTACCCGAGGAAACCTCACTTGAACTAAGTGTAAAATTAAATATTATACCTACACAGACTAAATTATTTTGCTACATAAGTGCATATTTAGGTATACCTACATAATAGAAAGGAAACCAGTTAATAAATATAACAGCACATCAGCATCGTTATCGTATCGTATGTAAACTAAAAATAATAAATGTGTTTAAGAAGTAATAGGACCGACATCGTTTTCTAATATGAAGGGGCCAGTTTACTTACCGATGACGTCGCACCAATAGCAACTCGTTCTACGACACGCCCCTACAGGATGCTCTTCTCTAAATTTCAACGTACGATTTAATCAGTTTTCGAGTAGAATTTTTCACAAAAGATTTTATAATTAATAATTTTAAATAAGGCCATATTTAAATATGTGAACTAATATAAAAATCCGACATGTGCAAGAGGCCTATTATCTTCTTCATGAGTCTGTTACAGAATATTCCTTTACAAGATAGATGCAGTCCTATCTTACAATGCACTTTTATCTTTGAATGAACTCGGAAATGTTCTTAGCAACATAAATAACTCTTGAGCGGGATTAAATAAGATAACCTACACAGTGATCGAACAATTATCAATGATGCAAAATAATTCTATTAAATTTTATGGATACATTTGGACTGATGGTACATATCCAACAATGTGTCAAGCAGCTCTTATAATTCTCCTTTTAAAACCCAACAAAGACAAAACCAACACAACAACTTGTCTTAGCAAAATCTTGGAAAAATAGTGAACAATCGATTAGTGCGGTATCTAGAGATTAACAATTTGTTGGCTGGTGAGCAATGTGGTTTTCGGAAAAACCACTTCAAGATAGATTATTCGTTGAACTTAGAAGATGCCATACGGGAAACCCTTCGACAAAGACAACATTCAGTTGCCGTATCATTTTGTATTGAAAAAGCATTTGATACGACCTTTGCACGTTTATCAAAATCCTAACCTAGTCTTAAATCTAAGGGGGAGGAAGAAGAGTCCTGACCTTGAAAGTTCCTATCTTTTAAATTCTACAAATACGTATGGGCAAAAGTCCGCCATTAGAGGGTCAGTTCTTAAGAATAGGTTAAGTTTTTATGAACAGATTACGGTTGTGTACGATTACGACTGAGACTGAGGTTTTAGGAATGCAAAGTCGCTTTATCGTCTTACCGAAAACGGTTTTGCCCCAACCACTGACGAAGCAGTTTTTGGACTGGATAACTTGCCCTTGATCGGGTAAACACACGGTGCCGATATGTTCAGCCCTATCCAGAGGTGTATCGAGAACCAGCAAGGTCACATCGTTGAAAACTCCCGCTGCGACGAAATCTCTGTGAGTAATAAAATTAGCGACGTTCCTCTCCTGGTAGGGAAGTCTTTCTCTCGCGGTTTTTGAGTCCCATTCTCCTGCTCGGATCTTTATCTCGTCCGGCTTGTACCTAGGATGATATTTCTATTTATTAATAACGAAAAATCCCAGACTATTATATATCTGCCATTAATGTTTTGCCTCGCAAAATGTAAGATATACTAAATTGCTCAAATTAAAAGTTACAAAATCTCATTTTAACATTCAAATGTTTAGCGAATCGGTAATGTAACGGTAGATAATGGGAAAGTTCGATCGCAACCGCTGAGCGCAGGAGTGGTCTGATCGGAGTGATTTTGGTGTCGAATAGAAGTGGTCTAATTTAATTTACTTAGTATCTCTTACGATTTACGAGCAGTCACTTGTGAAAAATGAAAAATAGTCAAGACACTTACTTATAGACACAGTGTGTGGCTGTCAAAACCACGGAAGGGCTTATCAACGAACCGCCACAAAAAGAGAAGTTCTCTTCGGAAGTGTAAGATTTTTTCTTTATGATAGCCACCATCCAAGGGAACTCCCCGTACTCCGCCTCGTTGTTCCTGTTTCCGGTAATCTTGAAATCGATTCCATTCTCATTTCTCTTACCGCAACGGCTTGAGGCGATAGGTGGCGTAGGAGTGGTACTACTGACTGTCGGAGGAGGTGCTGTTGTAGATGGTTTTGCGCTGGGATCGAAGTCGGGAGATAGTCCACCCTTTGGAATCTGACAACACACCTCCAAAGGGTGACCGCAGCGGTTCTTCCTTATTCTGCAATAAAATCAACGAAAAGATTAGTTTTGTTTAATGCAAAGTTCATTTTAATTGTTGAATTCAATTATTTCACTGAAATCATTGTTAATTCAGGTCGTACAATAATTGTTGTTTCGATTTATTCTAAAGAGGTCAGATATCAAACAAACAAGAATAAGTTAAATAAAAACAATTTTTTTATCACTCATAAACAAGTCTCGTCGAGAGAAATTGATATAATGCCAGTTGTTATTGATTTGAAAAAGGTGGCTCATTAAATTTGCATTAAAATTTGTAGTCAATTCGATGACTGATGGGATTCCCCACTGCTGACTGTATTTTAATATACAGAGTGATCACTAGTCATCATTCCTTTCCGCTAACTATAACATAAATTTAAAACTTAGTGAAATCTTTTTCAGGAAAAGAAATGCACTGCGGTTTTATGCATTACAAAATATTGTAATTTTTAAGCTAATCTCACAATTCTGAAAAAGTTAAATATTTTCTTATTTAATTACGGGATAAAACTCAGATACAGAGCAGGGAAAATTTTCATAGAAAAAAATAGCAGAAAATGTAAAATAAAAAAAATGCAATAAAATAAGTATATAACAACGCAAATATCATAAACAATATATTACAAACTATAAGACAAAATGCATTAAAAATAATTTTCTAATATTAGGAACACTAGCATAAAAAAAATTAACACTGTATTGCATAACTGAAAAATATTTGAAATAGAAAGCAGTAGAGAGAGGGAATATGTTAATATCCGTTGTTTTTAAGTAAAGTGATTCATAAGGACAAGAGATGCTGCATATAAATACATATATAAGAAAAAATTGAGATTATTCAATGACAATTCTGGGAAAATCATGTTTCCTGACATTTTTATTTGAAAATCGTCTGACTAATTTTTATTGGAATTGTGATAAATTGAATAGAGTGTAGTTATTTATGCATGCACATGAATTAATGGGGTTTTATATAAATGTTTAGATATTTGAAAATATGAAAAAATAAACGGGCTTATGTCCTGTTTATTACGTAAAAAATTGTAAGTACAAAGTGGACAGTCTGATGTTGCATGTATTGAAATCTAGGAAACCATAAAATATAGAAAAACGGTTAAATGGGCAAAATCCTCTGTCTGGGCTTTTGAGATAATTTTAGTAAAATAAAAAATATTCTAAAGAATCTACTATAACTTCAGTATTTTTACGATTTTTTTAAATCGAAAAAACATTGTTACGTATAGAAAAGGTGTTTTCTATTGACTCGCATTTTTATCAACGTTTTGTTCCGTAAAACCATCATCAACATTGTATTTTTTCAGAGAATCATATTGTAAGTCATCTTAATTCGAGTCCCAAACTTTCACGGGGTGTTCCTTGGTAAAAATTTGCACAAAAAGGCCAAATAAACTAGGGGCTGATTTATTTTTCTTAAGTATCTAAACTAACTGCAGTATCATTAACAAATGTCATACACATTTTTTGGCTGCTGCTGACACATATTTACGCGGACTCTCAAACAAATGCGTTGTGTGGAAACCATTCTTTCATAGCCATCTTGATAAAAATATGTCGATAATTTTTTTGTATCTTGAAAAATGTAAATTTAGGTTCTATAGTATGAAAAAGTGATGGGGTAATTGAAGAAATTATTGTTCTTGAAAAATATTGCTAAAATGCATGGTTTTCACGTAAAATAAAAGAATGTATGATGATATATCATTATTGCCCATCAAAGAAAACTGTGATATTCACTTTTACATGTAAATAACTGTTTACTATAATTGATGCACATTGGCTAATTTGTATCCAATAGTACGTACTACATGTTAAATAATAAACATTCTGTTTCTCTTTACAATTTTTTATCTACAACATCAGTCTCTCGTTAGAGGTTATAAATTTATATTTTCCAAGAGAAAAAATAAATCGACGTATTTTTGACAAGGAGGCTATGAAAACGCAACCCATTTACTGAAAAATGTGTCATCAATAGTCAAAAATGGTGACCAAAGTTGGTAGAAATACTTCAGTCAGTTTGAACAGATTATTTTCAAGCTGCTATATTTGCGTAAGGAATCAGAGCAAATCCTTATAGACCAAGGCGGATCTGTCGAAATATATCACTTCTTGGATATAAGAGGGGGCAAGCTAATTTTTGCTGGAATACCTTCAGTACAACTCAAATAATAAAAGCGTAGATCCCTAGATCTGGACGAGGTCCGGAATATTTTCAAAATTGCAAAAATGTTTAAAAAATTTAAAAGATTACGTATTTTATTTATCCAAAGTATCTCGAAAATACAAACAACTAGAACCAGTATAAGATTTTACCCATTTAACACTTTTTCTGTCTTGACATCTAAATATCTAAACATTCCATGGCACGGAAAGTTCGAGGAATTTTATCATACTTTTTATTATAGTGTATACTAGAAGATATTTGTATTTATAAAATACTGAAACAAATATAAAAATAAAAAGAGCGATAAAATTTCTCACCTAGTACACCATCTATTTTTAATTTCTATTCGTTAATAAAATATATTTACCTAATGTCGATTACTCCAAAGCCAGCTGTCAACCCGTTCTGCACAATGGTCTTCGTTTTCGGATCACAGTATTCGTAATTAACGCAAAGCTTCTTTCCCTTTGTCGTCCCTTCTCCACATTTCTCAATATAACTTATGGACGATGCAGTTGTTGAAGACGACACTTCACTGAATCCAGGTATACATATTTTCCCAGGAGGACAGGTAGTAGTAGTAGGTTTGGACGTTGCAAACAGATCTATCAGTGCTTCTTTGGTATCGTTGGTTAATTGTTGACCCCCGGCGAGTCCAACGATAAGGGCGAAAGTCAGCGCCGACTGCATAACGATAACACAATTGAATTCAAGTGAATGTCTGTTGTGGTGCTACTATAGTGCTATTTTGCGTTCGAAGTAAGGCACTAAACTAAACTGAAAATTTGAGATTCACGAACGTTATGTATTTGCTGCCAGTACCCCACTCTTCCATTTTAGTATAGCTATAACTTACAATATTACTTGAAACGCCAATTTCGACCAGTCGTTCTCGTAATCCCTTCTTATGATTGCAGGGTATTTTCTAAGTTCCGCAGAAAATCCGGATACTTATTCTGTGGCTAGAACTGAGATGATTTGGTTAAATAAGCATAGAATACTACGGTCGTCGTTTTCGAGCATAAATAAAATATTAATCAGTTTATTAATTTCCAAAAAACTTAGTAACATGATCATATTTCTTCATGCATAAACAAATCTGCAGCAGGCATTCAAAACTTTTTGTAACCTATTTTGGGTAAATTTGTCTAAACAGGAAAAATAAACTATAAAACAATAATTAATAACAGGAAATACTAGAGATTCACACATTTTTTACGTAACTTATAATTAAGTAACTATCTATTCATATTATATAACAATTTTAATGCTATATAACATTTCTGTATCAACAAAGAGACATGTTTTACAAATCTCAAATCAATGATCTACCCTCAATGTGCAAATTTAACTTACGTGTAATTTCCTGCCGACTGATTTTAGAACAGAATAACATAACCGCTCATTTGTTTGGGTTTCAGTTTATTGGAATAAGCATGTTTAGCTATGGATTCTAAATCTTTGTTTATTTTAATAGAAGCATTTTCAGTGTCACTAGGAAGAAATTGGAATTTCAAATTTGTATTATCAGCATAAGACAATATATTACACGCCTTTGTACAAATGAATAAATCACAAGTGTAAATCAAGAAGAGAATAGGTCCTAAAATCGATCCTTGGGGCACCTCGGAACTTATGAAAGATAATGTGGAAGTTTCATTATCAATGACTACCATCTGGTGGCGATTACTTAAGTATAATTTGAAAAAATGAAACGAAGTGTCATCAAACCCATAAAATTTTAATTTCGAGATTAGCAAAGCATGGTCTAGCGCAAGGGTCGGCAACTGGCGGACCGCGGTCCAGATCCGGATCGCGGAAGGTAAAATAATGGACTCAAAAATTTTTTGAAAGTATAAATTACTCAATTAAATTATTTAAAAAATAGTTTTCTATTGATAATAATACGTTTGAGTGCCACCCTCATCATTTGTTACTACAATTGCGTGATTGATTTGAGTTCTTAATGGTTAGTAGGTAGATAAAATTTGTGAGTTCATATTAAAATAAAAAATTAGTAAGGAATGTGAGTTTTTTTTGTGGACTTTGTTAAAAATTTTCAAAAGTATCCGGACCCCACCTAAAATTACTTGCCGACCCCTGGTCTAGCGTGTCGAAGGCTTTGGAAAAATCTAGTGAAATAAATACTGTTGCATTGCCAGGATCAAGTGACCTAAATATATTATCTGTAGTTTCCAATAGAACAGTTGTTGTACTAAAACCTTTTCTGAAGCCAGACTGAAAAGAGTTTAAAATGTTATTTGAACAACAGTAGTTCTATATTTTTTCTATATTTAATTATTAAACATATAAGTGGATGTCAAAATACAAAAAAAAAACCTGTAACTACATTCCGCGACGTAACCCACCTTATATGTTAAANCCCAAAAATTTTTTGAAAGTATAAATTACTCAATTAAATTATTTAAAAAATAGTTTTCTATTGATAATAATACGTTTGAGTGCCACCCTTATCATTTTTACTACAATTGCGTGATTGATTTGAGTTCTTAATGGTTAGAAGGTAGATAAAATTTGCGAGTTCATATTAAAATAAAAAATTAGTAAGGAATGTGAGTTTTTTTGTGGACTTCGTTAAAAATTTCCAAAAGTATCCGGACCCCACCTAAAATTACTTGCCGACCCCTGGTCTAGCGTATCGTTATACTTCTATATTTTTTCTATATTTAATTATTAAACATATAAGTGGATGTCAAAATACAAAAAAAAACCTGTAACTAAATTCCGAGACGTAACCCACCTTGTATGTTAAATAAATTTATCATTAATCAAATATTAAAGAAATTATATTACAAGCTGTTTAAAATATCATTACGGATTTTGGTTATTTGGAAATATAATTTCTGCAGTATTTCAATACCAAAAAATTAAAATAGTAGCTAATTAACCAAAATATGATTAAATAACCGCTGCAGAATATCCGATCGTCTAAGTTGACTACATAGTTAATTCGTTCATTCTTTAAAACATTTTTATCAATATCTACATTTAAGTAAATACAGTAACGCAAAAATATTGCATAATTGCATTAATAAAAAAGTGTACAAAATAAATCCGTAAGTACACGTGACAATATTGCCAAACCGTTGTTTATATGTTGCTGGGATACACGTAGGAATGTGGGCCGCTGCATTTGCTTCTTCCTAAAATTTTGCTTGCCAAGGATTTTAATAAGACCAATGGCATATTTATCGTTATTAGCTCCAGTCTGTAGAATATTTAAACACAAATTTCAGAAGGAGGAATATTAATATGTTTAATTTTTGCGGATATTTTTGCAGATTTTGTAATTGGTGCTACGGATTTCTACGGGTTTTTCAGGTGAATCTACGGATATGTGTATCTACAAAGTTAACAACACTGATCTGGTACTACTTTATCACTGGAATATTTTGTTGATCAGGCCGGTTCTATCAGACAAGGAGGTGAGTGGGGGAAAACTCCCTAAAAAAGTGTCGTAGACAGGGTGGAATAAAGCTGCAAATGATTGTTTTTATTTTATGTTTCCCATTTTTAAGTGTAAATGATCAATGGGTAACTTGATCAATGGGAGACTTAACATTTTAAATTCCGAAAGCCTTCATCATCTATTGCCCTTCTTGAGAAGGCTTCCATTTCGGATATTTGACTAATACTTAGTTAGCGTAGCGCTTATGTTAATTTTATTTGCGTTTTGCGACATTTGCGACTGAATAAACATTTATGTAAAATATGTATGAAATTATGTTAAAGTGCAGATAAGAGACTGAAAACTTGCAAGAAAATGTAAATACAGTTCTAAATTTAATTTTATTTTGAAATCAGTTTTTCTCACAAAAGGAATAATCTACAAAGAGTGTTTCTACAAAGAGACAAAAAGTGAGAAGCCTTATCAGGCGTACCGATTGTAAACCAGAACCTTGAAGTTTTAAGAATTTTAATAATTCAATGTAATTAAATGTAACTAATTGAACACAAGACAAATCGTTTATTTCTTGTCACAAGCTTAGTTTTGATTAGAAATGAACTATTATAAATCCGGGCGAGAAGGAACAATTGATATGTTGTAAGTTTCATATTATTTAGCGTTACGCGCTGGTTTAGTATAAGAAAAAAAAAACACAGATGTCCCCGTTAGTAATACATATTTGGGATTTATACCTTTGTCCCTATTTTATTTTTTAATTGTAATATTTTACCAAAACTACTTTTCAGTTTAGAATTTTTTATTTCTCTTTTATTTAAAAAATTCAACAAACTTTCGAAGAATTTATAGGATTCAAATAGCTCTTATTGTTTAAAAAATTGAGTATAATTGTCTGTAACTAAACCAGCTTGTTTAATTTTTTTTATAAAACTTTGACTATTTGAAAGGAAAACGGTTCGACCGATCGATTTCAAAGTTTACTGGCCTCATGGGCATGTATTGAGCTAAATAAAACTACAAGCGTTAGTACTTTTCGCAATGTTTGCAAAGTGGCCGTTGATTTTCCAAAACAGGAGAAAACGTTTTTTTTGCACATTTTCAATTTAATACCAAGTAGGTATAATTTTTTTCTCAAACATACCAAAAGACTCTTGAAGAGGATTGATTCAAGTTTCCTGTACGATCATTAGTTAGTTAGTTCATGAGATATCGATGACCAAAAAAAAAGATGACATTCACTCAATGTCTCAATGAAAAAAAATCGTGCAGAAAATAAAAAAAAATCAAATTGAAGCTGAGGAATCAGGCTAAATGACTATGGCATTGATTAAGTCAGAAAAAATTTTTCTAAGCCCATGGGTAGTTTTGAAAAAAAAAATTTTACCTTGCATTATTTCTTTTGAATGCGCCGCGAGTGATGCTCAAAAAAATTTTCCTCTTATGTTTTCAATACTAGAATCTTCAAGTTTCAAGATGCTTTTCTTCTTTTCTCGATACGACCATTATTCACGAAGTTACAACCTTTCAAAAATCACTAAAAAAAATTTGAAAATTTTTCTGTTCTTTTAATTTTTTTGCCGAGTTTATTATCGTTTTCAAAAGATAAGAATATACTGATTTTTAAAACGTTAACAACTTTATGAAGATTTATAGTAATATGTATTTTGTAATTGTCTGCTTTTTTAGTGTGAGATTTTTTGATTAGCATAACTATTTTTCGTAAAAATAACCCATGACTTATCCTTCGGGCGCAATAGATTTTTTAATTTTTTTACTTCTAAACAGACTCGGAGCTATCTCTTAAGTCAGTGATTCCAAAAAGTTCTAATCTTATCAATGTGGTAAGTTAGTAAGTATTAAAGAAAATTCTTCTATTTGCAAAAATGTTTCTGTCAATCGAGTTTTATTTACTCAGATATCCTCTCCAAATTTTCTATTTTTTAATTTTACAATGTTTGTAAATCAATTAGTGTAAAAATGATTTGACAATAACTACTTACAGTTATTGTACAAAACACTTTTTTATCCAAGGTCCTGCTTCGTTTATATTACAAAGTCAAAATAAATAAATTTCAACAAAACAAAAATGATGACAGAATAGTCCATTTAAATAAGCCTTTAAATCGAAATTTTGGTCGACTTGCCTGAATTTTTGATATGAGTTAGTTTGAGGTATATTATAACAATAAGTGACAGTAATTTTTTGTTTAACCCCCGACCAAGGGTGAAAAAAGATAATACAAAGGAGTTTTTCAAGATAGCTCAAGAGGGCAAGGGCTAGAAAAAAGGGCTAGAAACTCTGAAAAGAAAGGTTACATTTTTAGAGTAGATCGAAAAATAAATTACAAAATTTATTCATTCTTCTGCTTATGATTTTTTTAAATTTCTGAAATCTTCCCTTAACTTCTAGCCTCCCCAACTCTGTTAATTTTAATAAAACAAGAAAAAGTTAGATCTTTTATTTTTTTTTCTGCACTCTATTCGTACAATTTTGAATTAATTAATAAAACTATTATGAATTATGAAATTTAAATAATCAATTTTTACATTATTTTATGAGTAGTAGTAGTACTTAGAATGCTAAATTCAAAGAACATAAGCTGAAGCCGCTAGACGAAATAGCGAATCCGCGTATGAGAGAGGCGCGCGCGGCTCATAGCGCTTTATTAACAATTAAAAAACAAGGCTTTAGAATAATGCGAGTCCCAAAAACTCTTCAGCATCTTGTAGGGGGATGTTTAAACTTTAATTTAGGTACCTGGCAACATAAAAAATAACAATTTTTAACCCGGAAATCGGCCGTTGAAAATCGTCATTTTCGCATTTTTAGTAACTTAAATTGTTTATAACTTTAAAAGTATCAATTTTAGAGGCATAGTGAATAGGAAATTTTTTGTTCATAATATGCCAAAAAACCTATGCCTTTCGGCATCATCTTGATTCATGTTAAGGAACACCTCACGAATCTGAATATGCAAAAAAATCGAGTGGGAAAATTTCTTCCATGAATGCGATGTTTTCGTCTTGTCTATATAGTTTCATGATTTTTCAATAAATTTCCTTTACCTATTTTTGGAACTCCTACTTTAATGATACCAGGAATACTAATTCCAGAAATTAAATTGAAACTGGTGGGACGGGTATTATAAAAACGTAAGATTCTGTGAAACTTTTAATTTTGCTATTGTTTTTACAAAATTAGTACATAAACGTTTATACTGATAAAAAGAAGCAGGAAATTTTTGTTAGTATTGATAACTGGAAGTGTTAAGACTCTTAGCTTTAAATTCTTCATCAATCCAGTCTCTAAACAGGGGAACGTTCACTCTCACCACATCCATTGCCCCATGCAACAATCCCCGCCTGATAGAACTTGTTAGTGCTTCTCTCAATGTGGCATACCAATGGGCTTCCTCCGTCTCCTTTACAAGTGTCACTTCCATGTCCTCCACCTGCACATACGAAGCTTCGATGAAGTTCGAAATGGGGTCCCGGGAGAGATCGATAGGCAGATCGATTTTCTTCAGGATCACCGGGTACTTGCCCATCTTTCCGAATGCGTCTTTACCCCAGCCGGTGGCGTAGCAGTCTCGAGACTTCAAGACGAGTCTAGACCGAGGTAGACAAACGACGTCCACGTTTTCAGCAATGTCCACGGGAAATTTCAAGAAGAGCAAAGCGACGTCGTTATACAACGCTCCTGCGTAGTAATGAGGATGGATGGAGATAGACTGGACCTCTCTCTCCTGATGGGGAAACAGTTCCTGGGCGTGTTGGGTGTCCCATTCCCCAGCTCTGATATTGAACGACTTATTTTTACCGCTCACGCAGTGTGCGCCGGTTAGGACGACCTGGGGGTGGATCAAAGCTCCTTCACATTTGTACATGATGAGTTTTATGGGGCTTACTTCGATGGATTCCTCCCTGAGGGTGGCTACCATCTAGGGGAACTCCCCGTATTGAGTCTCGTTGTCTACGTCGCCTGTGATTCGGAATCCTATGCCATCTGGGTCACGTAACCCACAACCCTTGGGTTTATCTCTGCTGCTGGAAGAGCTGGAGGCTATCGTGACCCGGTCGTCCCCGTTGCAGCTAATAATAATGGGATGATAATATACAGTATAACGTTGCGATACACTTTCAAATCTAATTCTTTCCGTCAAAACAGACAGATAAGTCTAATTTCTTCATAATTGCTACCTACTAACCAGTGATATCAGAATTAGATAACCATCAAAATATCTGCCGGGTACAAAACCCACTTGAAGGATAGGTTACAGTACAAAAATAATGTTGCAAAACGATTATAGAAAGTGTTTTCGAAATGTATAAAAATATATCGATAATAAAGATAATAAATAGAATAGGTCCAAGTGTGGATTTCTGAGGAACACCTAAAATTTTTAGAAAAATGTTAGACTCAATACACGTACTGGGATCAATTAGAAAGATGTAAATTATTTAATTTCACAGAAACAACTTGAGTTAACGTCACGAAAATTTATATTACACCGATACCACTGAACGGTCATTACAATTGACCGTTGCTAGGCGGTTGGTAGGAAAACTGTACGATTTTTTTACCAAGCTGTGCGATTTTTTTACCGTACGTAATAGGAATCTTACATTGATCGCAGACGGTGTGTTTTTAAGTATTTACAGTAGTGGTCGTAGGTAATAGTATATTACGTAATAAGTGTTGTAAAAAGCATTTTACGCACGAATGGAAAAGTTACGCACGACGCCGCGTAGCGGCGAGTGCGTAATTCTATGAGTGCGTAATTGCATTACACCACGTATTACGTACTATACTTTACCTACGACCACTACTTTAAATACTTAAAAACACACCGTCTTCGATCAATGCAAGATTCCTATTACGTCGTACGGTAAAAAAATCGCACAGCTTGGTAAAAA